TTGCGCTTTCGTACAAATCGATGGTCATGGCCAAGTGCGAACGACGAGGACACCTACGCCGCCGACGCCTCTGCTGTCGCATGTTCCAAGGAACAGTTCTTCCCCAGTCTCAAACACAGCGTGCAGCGGGCGATGCCTTCTCGTCTCGGTGAGTCCGATGACGTCGTACTTGATCTTTCTAGCTTGCATCATCAGGTCTTTTATACACGCTTCTGATGCAGGCGTCCGCGCGTAAAAGTGCAAATCGCCATCTTAGTCCTTTCCTCTTGGGCAGCCTGTTTTGGCCCTGAGATTTTAGCAGCCTCTCCCGAGCGGTCCTACCCAACGCTGCCGTATTGGGCGCTCCTTCAGGTTCAGAGGAATGACGCCCATTTCTATTACTGTTTTTGGCGTGTAGATACCCGACATGCAGCTTACCAGGCTCTGACGTAGGGGCTGGGTTGACTCCGGGCTTGTCAGTGGACGAGAGGCTTTGTTTTGGGAGGGCCCAGAATCGCCTCTCAGATACTTTCCAGTCCCTCGATGCAAGGATACCAAATAAACTCACAGACTCTCCACACACGTATGCGTGGATTGAAATGAGGGAATGCGAGAAATAGAGGGTAGCAGCACAGCAGAATCAAGGTGTCCATCCCCTGAATCTCTGGGCAAGTACCGGAGACTTTTGGTCGGAGATTAATTCCCACCTGGAGACGCCCTCCGTAGCCTTGTCACTAATCGGCTGGGGATTCTTCAGTGAGAGAGAACTCAGTGAAGGGGATCCGTAGACGTATTCTATATAGTTACACAAATTCCGTCATCTATTTGTGATGCGTTCAATATTTTTCACGAAACCCTTGTCGGGCCATCTTTCAATGAATGGGAACGAGACGCTGTTGCGACTACTCTAGAGTCTTCAGTCTCTAAACTTTATCACCTACAAAATTACATTAGTTCTCAAGTGTTAATTTAGTAGACTGCATACTTCTGGGGAGTGAGTTAAAGGATCAGCTAAAGGACAAATAATTCTAAACTTCCATCAACGTGGATCTGGCGAATGCACGAAAAAAAATCCCAAAAAAAATATTCCCCAAATCTAAGTGGCGTTCGTCCCAGGTATGACTGACTTGTACCGTCATACAAGTATCAGCCGAGAAGCTGAAATTCGAGGGCACATCTAGGCCACCTAATTGAGAAAATCTGGGAAAAGTAGTACGGAATACGTTGTAGCTGGTCACTCAAGGCCATCGAAACTTATTTATTTTGTTGTTCTGGGGATATCTAAGTAATGAAGAAGCAGTCCCTCATCGAATCCCTAGCCAGATGGTGCTTGTTGATGGAACCGAGATTTTTTTGTTAAGCCATCGCATCTTTGGAATCTTTTCCTCAAAGAATCTCGGAGCGATATGCAATGCACAAGTGAAGAAAAATCCTCAGCGGCAGAAGAAACATAGTTTACTTCAACTTCTAGTCTCCCACCTCAGCGATCCACCTGTTATATTCGGCGATTGAGTTGAAAACCTCAGATCCCTGCGTTCGTGTCGTGGTTTCTGTTCTAGGTAATTCTTTGCTGGATTCCATCGCCTGTATAAAAAAATCTAATGAAACGTAATTCGGAGTCGCCTTTAATAAAAAACTCCCTACATTCAAGCTACTGGAATAGCCTGACTATGTAGTCCTGCTTCGAATCATACCGCACCCCCCCCCCCCCCCCCCCCCCCCCTCCCCTCACGTTAGAGCGTATCACCTATGCAGTACTGCTTGAATTGCTAAAATCAGAGCCATGACAGTCTGGCAAAAAAGAGAAGGGCTTGGGTAGCGGTCTAAACTTTCAATACAGGAGCGCTTGTAACAGGAGTGTATATAATGATGCAAGGAAGATCATGCACGAAAACATCGGGCTGACCGAAATGGGTAGGTATTGCTCACTACACGCATCCTTCGAGAATGGTGAAGCAGAGGCATGGGAGGTTTAAATCAACACGTGTTAGTCCATGGACATCGATCCGTGTAAAAGCTTGACAACCCGAATCGGATTTGAGAAGATATGGCTCGACCTCATTCAGAACAATCTTGGTATCACCAACATAATGCTGCGAATAAGAGGAAAGAAGGGTTTCATGAGAACTCGGGAAAGCTCTTCCATTTGTGAGAAGACCACAGACCTTCGTCATGATCATTGTCGGCGATTTTAGCGTCGAGATTGGCCCAGATGAACGGCTGGGAAACTTGATATCAAGTTTCAGCGAATGAAATGGGACGACCAAAGTAGAACACTCGCCCATCTCACCAGCCATAGTGCTTCAAAGTTCCAGAAGAGCTCCGATGTGCAATGGACTTGGGTTTCACGTTGTAGACAGTTTCATAATGAAATAGATCACAACTTCTCCAATCACAGTTCTGCCTGACTGACTTTGCTATTGCTCCGAAGTTTCACACTGGATCAGACCATCGTCTCATTCGCCCTCGGTTCTGTTTTCTGAATGCGACAATTTCAGGAAACGAAGTTTCGAGACTGTCATAAACTAAACTCCTTCGCTACCCTTGCGAGTTTATGGGAAGATTACATATAGTCAACGTCAATGAAGAATGCAACCGGCCTTCGAGCCTTTTTCAGTAGTGCTAGTAAAACCATGTATACAGGGTGCCAAGAGACGACTCTTCAAAACTCGTACCGTGCAGCGTGAAATCGCGTTAGCCGCAGTCAATAATCAACTGACGTACGAGAAACAGCGTGCAATGCACGCAGCCATTCTGCGAGATAAAGATGGACGAAGGTAACTTCTCCCCATCCTGGTGGAACAGGTACCGCATCTCGGAGGGCAATGACTAATATCATCCACGACTTCTACTCGCACCTCGATAGCGACTGCCACGTCTACCTGCCTACCTACCATGTCAAATAGGATGGATATGTCGTTCCTGAAACTCGACATGCCTGCACATCGATGAAGAACTGTACAATCCTCTTAATAGGATTAAATCAAAACATCCGAAAAAGCTAACGCCAATAATTTCAAAACTCTGTATTGGCTTTTGACGCGGTGTGCTATGTGCTCGCATCGCTAGTAAGTTAGAAAGGCTATGTTCTCACATAAGAAGGGGATGCACACAATGTTGGCAGCAATTGAAAATCTTGAACTCATCACATCTTCACATCGTTAAGAGGATTGGCATAACAATGGGTGAAGGGCAGCTATGCTAGCAAGCGAGTAAGAGCTCCTAAGACCTACACTGTAACAAGACTCGATGAAGTACCGTGAAAGTTAAGGATGCTCTTTTGTCCCAGGCATTGTGTTTCACGATTGCAAAGAAAGTGCTTGATAACGTTGATTAGGAGCGCTGAACGTTCCAATTGAAGCTTTAGAGATCAGGGCGTTCCTATTCAACATGTAAGGGTGGTTCGTGATTTCTAGGTCAAGTTTAGGTCGCTACTCTACAAAGAAGTCGTAGTATTCTTGTAAAAAGGAATTTGGCAGGATTTTCAGTCTCGCCCAAACCCTTCAGTGCTGCTCTCAAAATATTGTGTGCCCTGAGACTGAAATTGCTGCACGATGCTCCCTTCACGCTAAACCGAATGAATATCTCTAATGCTCTAGTTACGGGTTACGTGCTCTAGTTTTGCTCTAGTTACGTGCACCTACGGATGTAGATGGAGAAGTCAACTTGGTGAGTGACCTAGCTCCGGAGCTGAGCAGAATGGAACGCACGCATTTCGAAGAATTTAAGAGTATTTAGGGAGAAGTGAAGAAGATAGAAGACACCCGACTCCTCGGTCACTTCTTCGACAATGCTTCCTGCTTCGGCGTAGGTCTAGGAGACTTGGATTCTACGAGAGGAGGATGAGCATGCAGTCGCTTGACGCAGTGCGGAAAGGATGATGTTCGGAATTTCCAGATACGCGCAGCTACAGAGGACAACCGAAGTTTCAACCTTCATCAACGAGCGAAGATGTCGTTGCTTACACAAAGGAATCGAAGGTCAGGTGGGCAGAAATGTCATGCGGTCTTGTGATGACAGTTGGACGACGATTATTTGATTCGGTTACTTAGTGGATCTCCACGTCAGCCGCCAGCGCGAGTGGTCAGACTCTCTCACGAAGGTTCTGAAAGAAAGCGATGCTGTGTCGTGTGCCGTTCTAACGAATAATGACCACTGGACTACATAGGCTCGCAACAGAACGAATTGAAGTGATGCTAGCACCCTCCTGGGCCATTCAATGACTAAAGGAAAGACAGGTAATATATTTGATTAACGATTGCGGAGTAACTATTGTAATTTGTCATCGAAAAGAGGTCAGTCAAGGTGGACGACTGTGATAATCATCCCTAACGAGGTAGATGCCATAATTAGATGAGTGGTCAGACAGTCACTATGGAAGGATGGTGAAGATCAACGATTCGAATGCAAGAAGTGAATTGAATGAGCGAAAATGAGAAGAATACCATCAACGAGAAGATAGAGATGATTGAGAGTATAAAAGGAGCCGTGTAAAGTAATAATTGCTGATTCGCTTAAATTTTTTGAGTCGCCATCACCGTAGGATGTAACCGTAGTGTATATCTACCAAGAAAGTAAACGAAGTGTGAAACTTGAGCGGAACGATGTAAGCGCAAGTTCTTGTGAGGAGCTAGAAAAACTGAGTTAATGCGCAAGAGGCGCTCATAAGCGACGTTCGCTTCCAGCACTTACTTTCTAGGGTAAAGTATCAGTGCAGTAAGCTCTTTCCCTACTACCTCTATTCCTACTCTTTCAATGCTTCTTGTTTCCCACATCAAATAAATGACAGAAAAAAAACTTAAAAATTGATAACATTTACAAGATCTTCGACATCTCGGTTGGTGCCAATTTGCTTCGTGGAAGTGACACTACTGTTCTCTCGCTCCTCCGATAGTTCCACTTTTGCTATCTGAATTGACAATCAATAGGGACAAAAATTATCTTTACCAAGCCCCTCGTAACATTCGTATATTATTATTTTACCGTAAACCCGGCCAGTGTTTCTAAGCACTAAGTGTTCTCCTCTGCTACTTGAGAGTGATTTCACGATAAAATTGAACATATTTGGAGTTGCTTATAAGTTTTTGATAAGCATGACCCTCTCTACCAGAGTAGTTTGATCACGTTCTCCTTGTGCCCGAATTTAAACTCGTGCCAGCCGAGCTGTTTCGTAAAAGCAACGAAGGTTTTGAAGTTAGTTCAATCTCGAGGAGGGTATAGTCAAACAATAATAACGCTTCATTTTATGAATTGTATCATGAGGTCACTTTACTCCACCCATCAAAAGTTCAATGATATTGATTGAACAGTATTCGTCAATTTTTTCTCAATGGTACATTAAACCACAATTCCAGCATTGAAGAGATCCATGTATTTCAAAACACAAATACATGGGTATTTTTGAAAGAAAAAGTAAATTACAAATAAATAAATTAACACGTAAATATAGAAGGAAATTGATTTCTTGTGCATCGGAATTTGAGGTGCATGCAATTCAGTTTTCGAGTCGCACTAGGCCGATATTATAATCTTTAACGATAACATTTTCAATGCTTTCTGTGAAAAGTTGTCTGTGATTACTGAAAAAATAAAACTTGCTGTGGACAACTTCTTGGAGTCATTCTTGCTTTCTGCTTGTTGGTGTTCGTCATCCTAAAAAGGCGATTGATTAAGCTGTGTTTTAAAATTCACTCCACTATTTCATTCATTTCTACCGCTTCACTTCAGTTGGAGAAACTGTAGGGTTCAGTGTCTCCAATGGCACTATAAACATATGAAAAACGATTCAGACTCACTTCCGGTGCCTGCTGCCTGATTTCGGCAGATGTCTCGATGTTTTTTTCACTGATAGAATCATCGCCTATTATGGCTGTTTGAGTTGTAGAAGATGCTGATTTTTCCATCGTCTGTAATCCTTCAGTAAAGCGGCCTCGTAAGACCCTCAAATCATAGATGAATGTCTGTTTTCTTACGGTGGAATCAGCTTCTGGTTCCTTTACATCTTCATTGAAAGCGAACGGAGGGAGCCGTTTATCAGTACCATCTGTAATTAATACCTAACATTCTTTAAAACCATTGATTTTCACCCCAGGACTTATGGAATGGTATAACGTGGGCGTTTTTCTAGAAACGAGGAATCTATGTATTGTCAAACACATAGGTGATGCAGTTCGGAGCTACTGTAGGCAGACGAAAAAATTCACAAAGATCGAAAGAAAGATGAAATCGATTCAGCAGCAGGTTGCGTCATTGTGTTCCGTTCTCTCAATATTAGTTACTTTTGTATTAGCTTGACAAAAATTTCATGTGCTTTCTAGAAGCTCTGAAAGCTTCGTGGGTTACCTGTGTTTTGGATCTGCACCTCATCACGTCTCACTTCAACGATCGACGATCCTTGTTGTGTATTTCGGAACTTGTTGCTCATATTAATGTGCTCCAGATCTCTCCACGAATCATTGTCTTCATTACCTAAACAATAGCACACCATTTCTTTCTGCTGCCCATCTCGTTTTGTAAATGTTCATAGTGTATGTCGTAGCCTACCAGCTGCTGGCAAATTGAGGATGATCTCGTGCTTTGGAGGCAGCATCGAGCCGACTGTCGCCTTCACTAAATTTCGAATAAATTTTGAAAGACGAAAGACACACTGGTATCGCCCATCTTTTTAAAAACAATTTTCTAGAGGATAACGATGGGTTTCCATAATCCTACTCTGTAGCGCGATAATTGTGCGTGCGTGCGTGTATGCATGTATGTATGTATTTGTCTGTCTGTTTGTCTGCGCGCTTGTGTTCAGCCGGAAATTTGTCCTTTCTGTTCTCCTGTACCAGAACTTTCGAATTGGGGAGAGACGTGAGCAACAGGCAGACTTTACACGTAAAGGAGAAGTGTTCGGTGTTAGCCGGGAGATTCGACTGGAGTTTAAAAGTCATATTGATCACATTTCTGAGCAACTTATCTTTGTACAGCCTTCGTTCGTGAAGTGTATCGATATTGTGAACACTTTTCAACACTTAGAGTAGAGCGTTACGGTAAAGAAACCCATCACCAGCACATCCTACCACGAGGCCTTCCTCTTCTACTTTTTACAACTTTTCTATGAATTCTAAATTTGACCTTGTCCATCCCATATTTACTGCCTTGATAGAGAGGGAACTGGAGGGATTGGTAGAGTTGATAAAGAAATGTAATAGCACGAGAATCGGTTGGTCGGCTCGGTTACCCAGCTCTGCAATTCCACCTATTTCACCATTTTGCTCACCCTTCCTCTTGAACAAAAAAATAAGAAGTTTGGCGTAGGTTGCTCGTGTAGCTAATGTTCAGTACCCAGGTGTTGACGGTATCTTGGAGCTTGAAAACGAATTTACTCATGTTTATAAGCGAAACCTTTTCCTTGTTCGAAAGCAGGCATTTTTGTGATCATCGGTTCCGATTTGAGTTTTTTCGATTCATCGCCTCCTGTTTCGGCCTGGAAGTAAAGATGTTCGCTGATCTTTCATTCATAGGGGAAAGGCGAACGAATAAAGTTGCCAAAGATTCCTTCCCGTCAAGACTATTTTCTTTCTTTCTCTGCCTGACCACATTATTGAAAAGACTAACCAGTGGTGAATGTGGAAGCTGCTCGATTATGGATTCTGAAACGAAAACTTTATTGGGGTGATTTTGAAAGTATACCCTTCTCAAAAGCATACCTCAGAACAGAAGTTCGGAAGTCTACTGCTAAATTAGAAAACTTCGTTCAAAAGAAATGGAGTGAGCTTCGAATAAGAAGTGCAACACCTTTCAAGGTAGTGTTAAACAAATCCTTGAACATGTCATTCATTTTGAATTCATGCTCAATCTAGATTCTATGCATTATTACGGGAGATCTGAAAGTTTTCGGTTTTGACTGTTTTTGAGCAGTAGCACGTAGGCTCTCGCAATAACTTATAGTTTTATTCAACGCAAAGCTGCTGACAAAGGTACGAAGGACTGGGAGGGAGCATTGTTATGCATAAAACTCAGTTCTTTCGCTCCCCAAGTAGCTCCGCTTCTGCTATCCGAATTGATATCCTATACGGACAAAAATTATCCCAATCAAGCCCCTTGTAACATTCGAAAATTATTTTACCGTATACCAACGGCCTGAGTGTTTCTAGGCATGCTCTGCTCTACTGCTTGAGAGTATTTTTGGAGTTGCTAAAAACTGTAAGTAGTTCACTGAATTCAATCAAACTTGGGCCATGCAGAAAAAAATTTCGGAGGTTAAGATAAGCGTTAGTGGAACGACAACGATGGAAGAGGGAGGGAAAAGGGAGAATGGGTAGACATTCAAAGTAATGAGGCGAGATAAGTTTTGTGTATCAAATATAAAGGCGTTTCCTCCGTGGGTATAATATTTGAAAAATCGGTTCAGAAAGGATCGAACATTCTTTGTGCCTTAGAAGGTCTTTACATTCAGAGAAAGAAGCTGGTGATACACCGTGAGAATTACCTTGATGAGATAAAAGTTGACATATAAAAGATATGAAAAATATCACACTAGGCTATTATCGCTTTGTATTCGTAAATTTACTGAAATACCTTACTTAAAGAGAAAAATCATAACGAGCGCGAATAACAAAGTGTATGCTATTAAACTGAATGAATTTAATCAAGCTCGTGAAAATCTATTATAATAATTATTGCTTACTTGAACTGCTTTCCACGGCTAATAGCAACGCTGCCAAGCAAAGCCTCCAGCCCATTCTAAAACATTAAAGCGTCTTTTCATAAATAGGTAAACAAATACATGTACAGAAGCGGTGATAACTGACACTATCCAATCTTATTAGATTGTCTTCTGGAAAAGCGGTAAGCAAGTCGTTGGTTGTATGTCATGTATGTGAAGAATAATATGAAACTTTGCCCTCAAGGAACGAATTCAGAAGCTCAATAGGTGCTTCATATTGAAAAGCTTCGAGCTTCTGAGAATATGTTATGGATAATCGCTCTTTGAACATGACGAAAGACGTGACAGCTGTATAATGTACAATAAAATATAGTGTAAAATCCTGCTATATCTAATGCGATAATGTCTGTATGTTTGTATGTGCGTTTGTGTGTTTATGTGTGTGTGTATGTGTATGTGTGTGTAAATGGTGTGTGTGTGTGTGTGTGTGTGTGTGTGTGTGTGTGTGTGTGTGTGTGTGTGTG